GTTTTGGACAGGTTTCTATAAGAATTATCTAGAACTTGATTACCAGTAGCCTGGGATCATGTAGATATCAGCAACTGGAATTGGCTGGAAAGTCTGCAATCCTGTTTGTTGAGCCAACATATTGTTTCATTGACTAAGAAGCCACATTATAATTGTGGCTTTTCAAGAGACAAAAGTTTGCTTACTTTACAGTGTTTCCAAAATTATATATATATATATTCCATATATTATATATCTATAATCCCCATATTTGGTAAAAGAAAGTAATTTTATTTTTAATGACAACAATAACCCTGAAAGTGATCTAGCTCATTTGTTTCTCAAAATCCTGTACAGTTGTCCCTTGGTATCCATGAGGGATTGGTTCTAGGACCCCAGCAGATATCCAAATCTGTATGTTTACAAAATGGCATGGTATTTGTGTATAACCATGCACATCCTCATCCTTCAATATGCTTTGAATTCTCTTATAGTATTTCTAATATTCAATGCAATGCCAATAGTGTATAAATAGTTTTTAGACTTTATTGTTTAGAGAATGATGGCAAGAAATCAAGTTGGTACATGTTCAATACAGTCACATCTTTCTTTTCTTTTTTCTTTTGGAAAATATTCCACCCTCACCTGTTTGAATTCATGGATGGGAAATCCATGGAAACAGAGGGCTCACTATGCTTATATTTCAGTCCTGTAGTGTTATAGTACAGGATGCCTTATGTACAGAATTTTCAAGCATAATAAGATAGTTTAACAACCATAAAATAAAGGAAATATTTAAGATCTGGAAATAAAGTCTTCAGAAATTATATATAACCAATAGATACCAAAAATATTATAATATTTTTCTTTTCCTTCTAATATAACAAAATTGCTACTTATGACTCTGTAATACAAATGCAGTGTAAATACAATCAGAATTGAAATGGATTTCTGAATTGACTCCAGCTATATCAATGTAAAGACTAAACTATAAACAAGATGTTAGCAATGAAATATTGGCTTTCTAATTAATGTGTTCATTTTTAAGCATGGTATTAGAAAACTTAATATTTTCAAAAGTATTAAGAATAGAAAGCTATGTCTATTTTACATTTTGTCCTTTATTACCTTTCCCAGGGGTATTGGAGAAGATATTCCACTAGAAAAAGATTTCTGAAATTGAAATATTATTCAGTCATCCTGCAATCTAGAATAAGAATGATAATTGCTGTTAAATCTTATAAACGATATCTTTGGGCCACAATTATAATTCAAAGGCATTGGCGTGCTAGTTTAAGAAGAAAACAAGATCAACAAAGATATAAAAGGTTAAAATCATCATGCCTTATAATCCAATCTATGTTCAGAAGATGGAAGCAACGTAAAATGCAATTACAAATAAAAGCTGCAGTAATATTGCAAAGAGCTTTTAGAGAATGGCATTCTAGGAGAAAAGCTAAAGAAAAGTCTGCTATTGTCATACAATCATGGTATAGAAGGCACAGAGAATTACAGAAATATATTTATATTAGATCTTGTATTGTTATTATTCAGAGAAGATTTCGGTGCTTTCAAGCCCAAAAGTTATATAAAAGAAAGAAAGAATCTGTACTGACTATCCAGAAGTACTACAAAGCATATCTTAAAGGAAAGATTGAGCGCACCAACTACTTACAGAAACGAGCTGCAGCCATTCAACTACAGGCAGCTTTCAGGAGAATGAAGGCTCGGAATTTATACAGACAAATTAGAGCTGCTTATGTTTTGCAATCATATTGGAGAATGCGACAGGACAAATTTAGATTTTTAAACCTTAAGAAGATTGTTATCAGATTGCAGGCACACATAAGAAAACATCAGCAATTACGAAAATATAAGAGGATGAAGAAAGCAGCCATTATAATTCAGACTCATTTCCGAGCTTACATTTCAGCCAGGAAAGTTCTAGCAACTTATCAGAGAACACGTTCTGCTGTCATTGTTCTACAGTCTGCATATAGAGGGATGCAAGCCAGGAAAACATTTATTCATATCTTAACATCTATTATAAAGATTCAGTCATATTATCGTGCTTATATTTCCAGAAAGAAATTTGTGAGTCTAAAAAATGCTACAATAAAGTTGCAGTCAGTTGTCAAGATGAAACAAGCACGTAAACAATATTTACTTCTAAGAGAAGCTGTACTATTAATCCAGCAATGGTACCGTACACAAAAAATGGCTGCACGAAAGAGAGAAGAATATGTGCAGATACGTGAATCTTGTATCAAATTGCAAGCTTTTGTTAGAGGATACCTGGTCAGAAAGCAGATAAGATTGCAAAGAAAAGCTGCCGTTTCGCTGCAATCTTATTTCAGAATGAGAAGGATACGGCAGCACTACCTGAAAACTTATAAAGCAGTTGTTGTCATTCAGAATTACTATCGTGCATACAAAGTACAAGTCAATCAGAGGAAGAACTTCTTGCAAGTCAAAAGAGCAGCTACTTGTTTGCAAGCAGTCTACAGAGGTTACAAAGTTCGCCGACTATTGAAACAACAATCTCTAGCGGCTCTTAAAATTCAAACTGCTTTTAGAGGCTACAGTAAAAGAATAAAATATCAATCTGTTCTTTGGTCGGTAATGAAAATTCAGAGATGGTACAGGGCACACAAATCTGCTTATGATATAAGAACACATTTTTTAAAGAAAAGAGCAGCTGTGATTTCTCTTCAGTCTGCTTATCGAGGCTGGAAAGTCCGGCAGCAGATCAGAAGGGAACATCAAGCTGCAATCAAGATTCAGTCTACTTTTAGAATGAACAAGGCCCAGAAGCAATTCAGATTGTTAAAATCAGCAGCGTTAATCATCCAGCAACATCTAAGAGCATGGACTATAGGAAAGAAACAACGTATGGAGTATGTTGAACTCCATCATGCAGTACTGGTGCTTCAGTCTGCATGGAAAGGAAGAACCCTGAGAAGACAAATTCAAAGGAAGCACAAATGTGCGGCAATCATACAGTCATACTATAGAATGCATGTGCAACAAAAGAGGTGGAGACTCATGAGAAAAGCTGCTCTTTTGATTCAAATGTATTATAGAGCTTACAGAATTGGGAGAGAACAACATCGTTTGTATTTGAAAACAAAAATGGCTGTGCTAGTTTTACAGTCAGCTTACCGTGGTATGAAAGTGAGAAAAAGAATAAAGAAATTCAGCAAAGCAGCAATCACTATACAATCTAAATATAGAGCTTACAGAGCCCAAAAGAAATATGCAATCTACAGAGCTTCAGCTATCATAATTCAGAGGTGGTATCGAGATATCAAAATTACAAACCATCAACAAAAGGAGTATCTTAATTTAAAGAAGACAGCAATTAAAATCCAAGCTGTTTATAGAGGTATTAGAGTAAGAAGACATATTCAACACATGCACATTGCAGCCACTTTAATTAAAGCCATGTTTAAAATGTATCAGTCAAGAGTAAGATACCATGCAATGAGAAGAGCAGCTGTTGCAATTCAAGTAAGATACAGAGCATATTGTCAAGGTAAAATTCAGCGTGAAAAGTACCTGGCAACTTTAAAGGCTGTTAATACTCTTCAGGCAAGTTTTAGAGGAGCAAGAGTTAGACAAACTCTAAGAAAGATGCAGGTTGCAGCAACACTTATTCAGTCATGCTATAGAAGATACAGGCAGCAAATGTATTTTAATAAGTTAAAGAAGGCAACAAAAATAGTACAGCAAAGATACAGAGCAGTGAAGGCAAGAAACAAACAATTTCAGAGGTATAACCAATTGAGGCATTCTGCAGTACGCCTTCAGGCTACTTTTAGGGGCATGAAAACTAGGAGACTTTTAAAAGTTATGCATTTAGCTGCCACCCTTATTCAGAGGAGATTTAGAACTGTGATGATGAGAAGAAAATTCCTTTCTCTCAGGAAAACTGTTATTTGGATTCAGAGAACATATCGTGCAAAACTTTGTGGAAAGAAGCATCACTTACAAGTCCTTCAGTTACGAAAGGCAGTTATTAAGATCCAGTCATCATACAGAGGGTGGGTGGTAAGGAGACAAATGCAAGAAATGCAGAGGGCTGCTGTTCTCATTCAGGCGACTTTCAGAATGCACAGAACATTTGTTTCATTTCAGACTAAGAAACGTGCCTCAATTATAATTCAACAACATTATAGAACATACAGAGCTGCAAAATTGCAAAGAGAAAATTTTATCAGACAATGGGATTCTGCAGTGGTCATTCAAGCTGCATATAAAGGAATGAAAACAAGACAGCTTTTAAGGGAAAAACACAGAGCTGCTATTAGAATACAAAGCACATACAAAATGTGTAAGCAATATTGTTTCTACCAAAAGCTCCGGTGGGCTACAAAAGTGTTACAAGACAGATATCGAGCAAATAAAAAGAAACAAAAAGCTCTTCAACCCAATATGTGTAAAGAAGAAACAAATAGCATTCAAGCAAGTTTTCAGGACATCAACATAAGGAAACAAACTCAGAAACAGCATGAAGCTGCCATTATTATTCAGAAGCATTTCAAAGCTTTTCTCACAAGGAGACGTTATCTCCACTTTAGAGCAACAGTAATTTCTGTTCAAAGAAGATACAGAGCATTAACTGCAACAAGAACCCAAACAGTTACTTCTGTACAGTCTTCTTACAGAGGCTTTAAGGTAAGAAGTAATATCCAATGTATGCACCTGGCTGCCACACTAATTTGGTCATTCTACCTAATGCACAGAGCCAAAGCTGTTTATTGAACAAAGAAAACTGATTTTTGTTACACAGATTTTTGTAGGTCATATGTCAGAGTTAAAAAGGAAAGACAAAAGTGTTTTAGCAGATTCAGAAATCTGACCTCTTCAGGCTGCCTTTAATGGCATGACAGACAGAAATTTAAAATATATATGAGGAAAGGATGGCAGTCTTGCTAACCAATCTGCATTCAACTGTTACAGAAGTAAAACCCAATATGAAGCTGTTCAAAGTGGGGATGTTATGATTTACAGGTGGTTTAACACTTCTCTGTTTGCTTTTCACAGGAAGGAGAGTATCATTCTCAAAGTGGGACTATAGTAATGATTCAAAGAGATCTTTGTGATACAGTCACAAGAAAACTGGAAATGCAGAAATGTGCTGCCCTCCAAATTCAGTCCTTCCTTCTGATGGCTGTGTTTCGGAGAAGATTTGTTCAGCAGAAAAGAGCTGCTGTCGCTTTACAGCGTTATATCAGGACATGGCAAACCAGAAAGCAGTTTTTACTATATAGAAAAGCAGCGGTCATTTTACAAAATCACTACAGAGCCCGTCTATCTGCAAAACACCAAAGACAAGTCTATTTGCAAATCAGGAGGAGTGTTATTATAATTCAAGCTAGAATCAAAGGATTTATACAGAAACAGAAGTTTTATAAAATTAAAAGCAGCACCATAAAAATTCAGGTATTTACTTATTTAAAATATAAAGTTTCAATATTTTGGTCAGTGTTTGTGAGAATTTTTTAAATGAGTTTAAGCAGGCCATAAATAATAATAGTACTTTGAGTGACCATTTTATCATCTTCCAAAGTAGAACATTATTTTGAGAGTGAGAAAAGACACCAGTGATGATTCAGGCAAGACAGCATAGAACTGGAGTTGTTTTGACCCTGGTCACCTTGCACTTCATGCATTTCATAGGTGTTAATTATAGCACTCCTGGAAGAATTTTGAAAAGATGGGATCTCCATATTTGACATTTTTTAAGAGTAAATTTTAAATTAAAGTGAACTGTTATTTAGCATAATTGGATGAAACAGGATAATTATATTCCTCTAATAATATATTAGCTAGAGCTGCTTATTATATAGATGTACTTTATTCAGTTTAGCACTTTTGGCTTCTAAAGCATTTTGTTATTTTATTTAATAAATTCTCCAATGTGTGAGGAAAATAGAGTTTTATCTCTTAAAATATTAGAGAACTGAGAAAAAATTAACCAAAAATTTCAATGTTGTATTGGAAGGAGGCAGATCCAGGAATTGAATCTGAGCACTTCAGCTATTTTTGTTCTATGTGAAATAAATTGGGCTTTGAACCTAAGTATGATATATTGTTATCTTGATAGTTGCTGTTAAGCTTAGAAATAATATTCTCTCTCAAAATCCACAACTGTTTAGTGCTAATAAGGTGCTAAATATTGTACTGGGTTTTAGGAATAGACCGTAAGATATACTTAGTTGCTCTCCTCAAACAACTTAATTGAGCAACGGAAATGATAATATTAAGTAAGAAGTGTATGTTAGTGGGAACAAAAAGAATCTAAGCTAATCCTGTGGTCAGAGAAAGCTTTCTAGAGTGAGTGACATATATATTCAAATATTTGGCTAAAGGATAAATTTGGAAAGAGCCAAGTAAAATGTATGGAGGGAATATTTCAGCTATAGGAGATAACACAAAAAATCGAAAAACTTCAGAGAGGAGTACAAAGTAAGATAGGAGAAGACTGGCCAGGAGCAAAATTGTGAATATCTTTGTAAGATGCAGAAAAAAATTTATAAAGGAATTTAAGCAGGAGAAGGCTAGAATTATTTTTATTTTTACAAAGTTACTCTGACAGGAATGTGAAAGGTGAACTGTAAAGGGAACAAAACTAGAATAGGGAGACTATTTGGGAGGCCATTGATCAGGTGAAAGTCAACAGTTTAATATAGGTTAGTGAAAATGAAGTTTGGAGAATTAATTTGGTTAGAAAGAGAATTGTCATCATGTTGAGCATGAACAGGGATCCAAGACATGTTTATGGCTTAGGTAACTCAGCAGAAGATACCATTTAGTGACACCGGAAACAAAGGTAAGAGCAGGATTCCTTTACAGACTACACACAAAAACCAGAATGTATGTGGAGTGGTAAGGATTACTCCCCAGGAAGTGGAGAGTAGGTTAGTGTGTTCATTTTCTTTCTGTTCTTCCAAATGCATTGATGCACATATATCTGGATTTCCACATGTAATGCACATCTTACAATTTAAAATATTGGCTAGGGTTACGTTAGGCTTTTCTGTCAGCAACAGGGTATGTGTGATAAAGTACGTGGCAGGCATTCATTATATCGGCACCACTATCCTCAGAGGACTCACTATATGCCAGACTCTAATGGGAGTTAGTATATGACTTTATTTCTACAATTGATTTTTGTTTATCTGCGTTAACCTCAGATTGACTGTCTTAATATACTAATTCTTCCAATTTACAAAAAATGACAATCATTGCATACCTGTTATATTTTTTTGCATTTGATAGGCTATATGGAGAAGATATAAAGCTAAGAAATATTTATGTAAAGTGAGAGCTGCCTGCAAGATTCAAGCCTGGTATAGGTGTTGGAGAGCACGCAATGAATATTTAGCTGTATTAAAAGCTGTTGAAATTATTCAAGGTTGCTTCTATGCCAAACGGGAGAGAACACGGTAATGTATTGTAGCCCTGTGGAAGAGCATAACAGTATATGTGTGGTTGTCAAGTCCTAGCTATAAGCTAACCATATAAATTGAGTATTTGCTATGCTCAATTTATATGGTTAGCTTTGTTGGTATTTTCTCCATTCATGAACATAATATATCTCTTGGGATAGCTTACTTTTTAAATATAGAGCATAGCCTTGATGATATAATTTAGTAAGAAATATTTACATACACTTAAAGCTTTTGTCCTTTTTGTTGTTGTTGATATAGCTATTGGCTAAATTTGTTTTCATATTTCTTTTTCTTTTTCTTTCTTTCTTTACTTTGTATTACTCTTCATACTCTTTGTCCTTAATGATGAAGACCCTAATTACCAACTTTCTATGCATATTCTATTTCCTCACTTACCCAAGTCATTTAATGTATGTTTTACATACATTTTTAGAGACTGCTATTAAATGGTCTTTTTTTTTTTAATTTCACACTATAAGAATTTTTCTTCACATCCCAAAATTTGTGATTGCTGTCCAGTTTAGGAGAGCAGAGCAGAGTTAGAGGACTTAATATATAGACACAGTTGCCACTATCAATATTAAGGACTGGTATCTTATTTTCTTGTACCAAAATGGTGAATTTTCTCAATGATATTCGGTCTTATTTTCTAAGAAATCTGACAATCAAACAAACTCATCTTTTTACCTTTTCTATAATACTGAGAAGAAATTAAAGAGCCCATCTTTCTTCTCAAATAAGTGTCCTTTTCTTATCTGATACTACTTGTAATCTTCCAACCTCTCTTTTTGACCACCTCCTGTCTGCTCAGAGACTCACTCAGACTTTATTCTTTACTATTATTTGTCATGACTCACTTTATGGAGGTTTTTGTCTGGACCCAAATGGTCATACTTTCTTTTGATCTTGTTCAAAATTATTTGTCACACCAGAATTATGGAACTTCTTATTTCCTACTCACTGGGATATTGCCAATTGCAAAACTTCCTTTTTATTGTGTCTTAAGTGTATGCATAAAATTGTGATTGCTAGAACTTAAGTATGAATTCCTGCTTTCTTTTGTTTTGCCTTTGTTGTATTTTTTCTCCTCAGTATTGGAAGTAAGAGAACAATAAATATTTGTTGAATATATTAAATTTGAAATTTCTTTTCAATAATAACTGTTTTTTAGGTTTTTGAAGATGAGAGCATCAACAATTATCATTCAGAGAAAATGGAGAGCTATACTTTCTGTTAGAATGGCTCATGAGCACTTAATGGCAAAAGTAGGTGTAAATAAAAATAACTCATTTATAAGACAAAAAGAATTTTTTAGACCTAATTATTCATTTATTTTATATCTATTATACTCAAGTAAAAGTTATTTTTACTTGGAAAGACACTAGTATTTTATATATATATAGTGCATGCATATATCATATGTATTTATAAGTTATTTTCAAACTCAAGTTTGAAGTGCTTTCAGTGAAAATAACCAATCTGGAGAAATCATAATAAATGTAGCATATTTTGTCTAGTATAAGTCAAATACTTAGTAACATGCTCTTTAAGCCACTATTGATTATATATTTAAATTGTTTAACATCTGCATTTTAAAATAGCTTTGGGCTTTAGTTAAAAAAATCAAAAATTAAAATTTGACTTAAATTTTAGTGTTCATGTAATATTCACTATGGTTAATAATATAACTATGATTGTTATTACTCTTACTAGTCATACTTAAAGTATGCCAAGTATTGGATAAGCTCTTGTATATGAACAAATTTGATCTTCATACAACCTTATAAAATAGTTACTGTTATCCTACTCAACTTAAAGATGAGGAAAATGTTTAGAGAGGTAAATTTACTTGCCCAAATAGCTGGAGGTTTATAAAACAAACCTAGCTTAAATGAATTAAAATTATTTAAATTCACATCCTCTGTGTGTGTGAAAATTAGATTGTCAGGATGTTATATAATTGAGCAACATAAAGTATGCTGGTGGTATGCTTTGTGGTTCTTGAAACCACAGAAGTTCCCTCATGGCTGGTTATAGTGACCACTCTGCTCTTTATATTGTAGCTAGATCTTTTAGTAAATGTATTTTTCCTATAATAACTTTAGTCCTTTTCCTCCTCACAATGAAAAGAATCAGGAGGGTAAAAGGGAGAGAACACCAAATATCTATTGATCTTGGCTTGTCTCTTCAATTTTGGCTATAGATCTATATAGACTGTATCACCTTTTCATATCTATGAAATATGACATCCTCAAACATTGAAAAAATTCAAGAATCTCTAGTAGGTTGAAAATCTTATTATTTCTATCTATTAATGTCACTTGTAAAATTTTCCTTGTAGAAACATCGTGCTGCTTGTCTGATCCAAGCACATTTTAGAGGACATAAAAGAAGACAGCTCTTTCTTCAGCAGAAATCTGCTGTTTTGATCATACAAAGACATATACGAGCCTGGGAGGCTGGGAAATGTGAAAGAATAAAATATCTTGAATTAAAAAAGTCTACAGTTATTCTACAAGCACTAGTGCGTGGCTGGTTAGAAAGGAGAAAAGTAAGTTTTTTAAGTAGAATGTTTCAATCACGTGAAATGAAAGTATTTGATATTAAATGGTGGTAAGACATTTTGGTCTTTGGAGAATATTTTCAGAGCTAATATAATTATTAGTTTGAGTTCATTCAGCTGCTGCAGAGCTACATAGAAGGGCATTGGGTGTCACAGATTTTTGTTCTGTGACCCTGCTGCTCCCCAATGCCAGAGATGCAAAATAAAATTTCTCTTGTATAATGACTCAATAAAAAAACTGAAAGAAGTATGAGGGAAAGGTTTCATAGGTTAAAGATGTTAATTTTTACTCAAGTAGCCTTTTGCTGCCCTTAAGGAATTGTAACTACCATTCCTGTGATGTCACCCACATCTTCAGCAAAAGAGAATTCTGTTAAGGGAGCTCATGACATTTGGCTTCCAATATATAAAGCACTGGCATAGACATAACAGCCTGATTTGAACCTAAAATAGAGTTCTTTTGTATTTTACTCATATATATTAGAAATCTAAAGCCCTAAGATCACTGTTGAAAGCCATACTATAAGAATCTTACACTGGACTTGTGCTACACTAATACTGGAACAATTAATTCATATAATTTTATCAGATTTAACATCACCATCTCTATTCTGCTGGAATACAGTAGCCTTTTTTGTTTTTAGCATTGATATCTTTCATTATTCATACATTGAAGGTCTTAAATTGCTGTTATTGGGTAGTTTAGTTACATTAAATGCTATAATTTTGCTTACATACTCTGAATCATGAGTTAAATCATTCTAAATATTTTGAAATATAGGATTATAATCACATTGAATCATGATAGTTACCTAAGAGAAAAAACTATCTTAAGAATCAGACACTTTAATAGAGGGAAGGGAACAGGGCAGGAAGTGGGGGAAGGAAAGGAGATGTACTGGGATCTGAATTATAGCAAATTATATTCTGTTTTTAAATTATGTCAAAATGAATTCTAATATTATATATAACTAAAAAGAACCAATAAAAAATAAAATATTTTAATATTCTACATGCTATACAACTGAGCAATCAACTCATTTGTTATAGTACTTCAAAAAATTTCTTCAGTTAAAATATTGGTGTATCAAAAAAGTCAGACACTTGATTATTAATATTCTTTTTCTCCTTTAGATTTTAGAACAAAGAGCCAAAGCTCGGCTCCTTCACTTCACAGCAGCTGCATATTATCACCTGTCTGCTCTTAGAATTCAAAGAGCATATAAAGTTCACATGGCTATGAAGAATGCTAACAAACGGGTTAATTCAGCCATTTGTATTCAGGTCAGTTTGTCTTTTGCAGAAAAAGTATGAGATGTAACTTTCCTCTTAGAAATTTTTGACATATATTGAACAATTCTCAGATTCCTTATGGTAAGATCATATAATATGTAACACTTTCAGCATATAGCTATTAGGATGACTGGAAGTTTGGATATCTTCTTTATGGAACAGCAATAAAGCTGTGAATTACTCTCTGATGTAATTTTACTCATTTATTGCACTCCCACTAGTAAAGTTGGAGGGTACCTGTTCCTCTAAATCCTTCACAACAGTGGCATCAGAAGACACCCTGAATTTTGCCATTCCAGTGAATTGGAAATGGTATCTCATTTTGTTTTTCATTTACTTGATTGCCAGCAGTTCTGAAATTTTTACATTTATTATTCAAGTTCTTATCTGTGTATCATGTGCTCTTTCTAATCTTTCTTTTTATGCACTTTGTCCCTTTTTCTACTTG